AGCCAAATATATCTTGATTGTACAATAACTATGGTATCGCAACCAAATATATTCAGGTGTACAATAACTATGGTATCGTAGCCAAATATATCTTGATTGTACAATAACTACGGTATCGCAGCCAAATATATTCAGGTTGTACATTATCTACAGTATCGCAGCCAAATATATCCCGGTAGTACAATAACTGCGGTATCGCAGCCAAATATATTCAGGTTGTACATTATCTATGATACCGCAACCAAATATATCCCGGTTGTACAATAACTACGGTATCGCAGCCAATAATATCCCAGTTGTACAATAACTACGGTATCGCAGCTAAATATATTCATGTTGTACATTATGTACGGTATCGCAACCAAATATATCCCGGTTGTGTAATAACTACGGCATCGCAGCCAAATATATTCATGTTGTACAATAAATACGGTATCGCAGCCAAATATATCCAGGTTGTACATTATCTACGATATCGCAACCAAATATATCCCGGTTGTATAAAAACTATGGTATCGCAGCCAAATATATCCCCGTTGTACAATAACTACGGTATCGCAGCCAATGATATCCCGGTTGTGTAATAACTACGGTATCGCAGCCAAATATATTCATGTTGTACATTATCTACAGTATCACAGCCAAATATATCCTGGTTGTATAATAACTACGGTATCGCAGCCAAATATATCCTGGTTGTACAATACCTACGGTATTGCAGCCAAATATATTCAGGTTGTACAATAATTACGGTATCACAGCCAAATATATCCCGGTTGTACAATAACTACGGTATCGCAGCCAAATATATCCAGGTTGTACATTATCTACGATATCGCAACCAAATATATCCCGGTTGTATAAAAACTACGGTATCGCAGCCAAATATATCCCGGTTGTACAATAACTACGGTATCGCAGCCAATGATATCCTGGTTGTGTAATAACTACGGTATCGCAGCCAAATATATTCATGTTGTACATTATCTACGGTATCACAGCCAAATATATCCCGGTTGTGTAATAACTACGGTATCGCAGCCAAATATATTCATGTTGTACATTATCTACGGTATCACAGCCAAATATATCCTGGTTGTATAATAACTACGGTATCGCAGCCAAATATATCCTGGTTGTATAATAACTACGGTATTGCAGCCAAATATATCCTGGTTGTATAATAACTACGGTATCACAGGCAAATATATCCTGGTTGTACAATAACTACGGTATCGCAGCCAAATATATCCCAGTTGTACAATAACTACGGTATCGCAGCCAAATATATCCTGGTTGTACAATAACTACGGTATCGCAGCCAAATATATCCCGGTTGTACAATAACTACGGTATCGCAGCCAAATATATCCAGGTTGTACATTATCTACGATATCGCAACCAAATATATCCCGGTTGTATAATAACTACGGTATCGCAGCCAAATATATCCTGGTTGTACAATACCTACGGTATCGCAGCCAAATATATTCAGGTTGTACAATAACTACTGTATCGCAGCCAAATATATCCCGGTTGTACAATAACTACGGTATTGCAGCCAAATATATCCAGGTTGTACATTATCTACGATATCGCAACCAAATATATCCCGGTTGTATAAAAACTACGGTATCGCAGCCAAATATATCCCGGTTGTACAATAACTACGGTATCGCAGCCAATGATATCCCGATTGTACAATAACTACGGTATCGCAGCCAAATATATTCATGTTGTACATTATGTACGGTATCGCAACCAAATATATCCCGGTTGTACAATAACTACGGTATCGCAGCCAAATATATCCCGGTTGTACAATAACTACGGTATCGCGGTCAAATATCCCGGTTGTACAATAACTACGGTATCGCTGCCAAATATCCCGGTTGTACAATTACTACTGTATCACAGCCAAATATATTCAGATTGTACAATAACCACGGTATTGCAGCCAAATCATAACCGATTGTACAATAATCACGGTATCGCAGCCAAATCATAACTGATTGTACAATAACCACTGTATCACAACCGATTCATTACAAATTGCGCAAAAGCCACCGTAAAATCATTATGAGTTATACAATAACTACGGTATCGCAGCTAAACCATTATGTTGTACAATAGCCATGTATATACTGTTTATGCATTGACATATTGACATGAGTGTTATCACCTTTGTCGTGAAGATTCATCATTTCCAGACGTTGTTGCAAGGTCTTGCATTCAACATCAAAACGCATCTTCAGTTTATTTATGTTTTCCCGCAAGTCTTCTATCGCTGTCCACACATCGCCCTTAGTATTCAGCAGGGTTTTACTTTGATCGAAGAACTGACGAAATATATCGTCTGTGGCAACTACAAACAAATGACACAATGGTCTGTATAAATATTAATCGTGTCATATGCAGGGTTAATGGTCAAATATAGTGAAATTATAACATAGTGTCAAGATAAACATTAACTTCATTAATTATTAAATAAAAATGTGGAGAAATATGAATAGTGCAAATTATAACTCATATCAACAATCATAATTTTAGAATATTCACTAACCCTGCTTCTGTTGAAGGACATCAATCTTTGCTATCACACTTTGGTATTCTTCTTTCAGTTGTGTCACTTCCTCCGACATTTTCAAGATCTGATCATTAATTTTGTTTCGTTCTTTTTGTCCCTGTGATACAGCTGCTTGAGGTAATTGTTAAAAAAGCTTTTGTTTACAGTGAATGGTAATATTCATAAAGAGTGCGAATCCTTATCTTCCTAGAAGTGTGATTTCTGTTTGTTTGGTCAATTTTCTTTCTGTGATGAAAATTATCAAATAGCAACACCATACGAATTATTGCGCTGCAGCTGTTGTGACCTTAACCTTGATAATATTAGAAACCCCATAGATCACTTCGAAACATTTAGTGATTCAAACTTGTGCCGACATAAAAAAATAACTCTGCTTTTAACTCAAACTGTGTCCTTTCAAATACTTAATTTTATCACAGGAATAGAAGTGATCACGAGATTGTTTGAGATAAAGTTGATACCTAAAAAAGTGCGCCTTCCGGCAGCAACGCAATCTTTATATTTGTTGCATCACAGGGAACGGGTAACTCCTTTAATTGAATATCTACTGCAATATATCTGATTAGATGTTAATAATAGCAATGTTATCTACACGTGCTTAAGTTGAACAACGTATATTTTAGAAAGATTATTGGTTGATATCTTACCTTTCTTGAGAGCATCCAGTTGTTCCTGTATAGATAAAATTTTCGTCTCCATCGACGTCTCTAGTTTAAGAATGTCTGAACGAAGTGATTGGACTGACTCTTTAGTATATTTTATTTCTTTTTTGAGTTCTTGTTGACCCATTTTAAAATTTACCATTTCATCTTTTATTTCTTGTTGACCTTGAAACAATTCCGACTGGCCCTGAGCTATCGCTTCTAATAAAACTGAATACATCAAACACTTGAATGTCTGAAAACATTCTGATATACTTTAAGTTAATGTATGAACATGTGTCTAGAGTAATTGTGGAAGCACTAGAGATCCATTAGATATAACACGATAGTTGATTATTTTTAACTGTAACTAACTAACTAACTAACTATCTAAACATTCACTTTGTCACTATTATGCAGCAAATAATTATTTACTGACCTTCCACTTTAGGTTTCTGAGACTTGGATGGAGCAGAAACGTCTGCAAAATATAAAACGGTGCGTCATATAACCCTATTCGTTACTCGGAACGTTTTTATTAACATTTTAAGTGTTTTTAAATGGAATTTCAATATAACAATAACAAGTTTATAATTATTAATACTATAACAGTGACGACATGGAACATAGTGTAGAAAGCAGGGAATAAAATATTGCCTCGTCATATTGAATTCAACATATTCTTGCAAACAAAACATACATTTTTTTTTAACTCACCTGGCTTGACTGACTTCTTGGTCTCAGTTAAGATTTTAGTTATCTTTGAACACCCATCTTCAGTCTTCATAAACAAATCGAAAACATAGCCAGGACGGTCTTCTTTTCTTTTGAACTGTTACATTAAACATTGCAATGTAATCTATTTCTTCATCAATTAACATAATGATCTTGAATAACATTTTTAATATTGTATATGCAATCACGTCATATTTACCAACAGAAAAATTGTCAGCTTAAGTGTATTAAAATTGTAAATCATGATACTTTAATTCAGTTCTATGTGATTTACAACTGTTTGCAGTGAGGAATTGTATATATATATATACATATTATGATATTGTATATAGAGCAGTTGAATCAATATCAATAAATTACGTGAGTTAGATTGACAATATATGATTCATGGTGAACATGCATGCCATCACAGTAATTAGCCCTAACAAGATAAATGAATACACTTACATTTAATGATATTATTTCAGCCTCATTAATAACCTCTGGATACAAAAAGTAGGATGTATTCATCAACTGCTTCATGTACGAGTCGTCAGAGCGAACAAACCGCATGTATTCCCTGCGAATCTCTTTCATTCTTTCGTCCATCTTTGATGTCAGAGAAAATAAGTAACCCAAACATTACATGTATGTATGTGACTATTTAATAATTTATACTGATATTTATTGTATTTGTCAATGTTCATAGCGTTGATCGTTATGCTATGTGTTCAATTTCATGTTGTAAGTGATGTCTCTACTAAATAGCAGTAGTGGAAATGAATGTATCTTAAAGGGGAACTAAATAGAGCCTATTTTGGTGTTTGTACTTATCAAGTTATGTATATTGATTATAAATTTGAAAAAAAAATTAAAAAAATGGTTATCTTCAGAGTTATGATGATTTAAATATGAGTCACCATAAACCTGCGAAGGACTTCCGTTTGCACCATCTTGCCATCAAAAAACGCCCTCATGAGGTATAAACAGGTAAGGTAACCAAGCATGATGACGAAATGGTATCTGATTAAATATAAGCAACTTAGAGAGCCATAGTTGGCTGGACTGGTGAATTGACTTCTAGTCTAGGTTGTTTCGACTTTTACGTTAATGTTATTTACAAGCGTATCAACATACAAACATTATGGATGTGCGATTGATCGAGACAGGCATTTTGTTTTGTTTTTTGTCTAACTGTCTAATAAATGCTGTTTCCAGTACTGCACTGTGCGGAGTGCTAATTATTCAATTTAGTATAGATGCTGGAGTATGCATCTTGAGTTC